AAACCCCCAGTGATGGAGTGCTCACAATTTCTGGTGGCAAGCTGTTCCACTGGTTAAATTGTCCTCCCCCATCAGGGAATTCCTCCTTAGTTCCAGGTTGCTTCTCTCCTTGATTCGTTTCCATCTGTTGCTTCTTGTCCTGCCTTCCGGTGCTTTGGAGGATAGGTGGAACCCTTCTTCTTTGGGGCACCCCCTCAAATACTGGAAGGCTGCTATTATGTCACCCCCTATGTTCTGACCCAGGCTTCGTAAACCATCATTATACACAAAATTGTTTTAAAAGCAAAACCTATTTTATTGCAACGCTGGGAATTGTTTTCATTCCTAGACAGAATTAATCTCAAACAGTCCCCCGAGATAAGCACACATCTTTCAGTTCGGTGAAGTGCTGCCATAAACAGAAGTATCAAATGAACTAGAAAACTACCAACCGAAGTACAAAAAGAAACCAATCGAACTTCAAAGAGCTTCAAGAATGACTCTGAACCAATCGGACAACTTTGCTTCCTACAAAGGTATCGTCACCTTTGCCTGACCTTTATAACTTATGGGAGGGGCAATCACCTCCCAGCCTTACTCCCGAGTCGCCCCTTTTGTCTTAGCTGCTCTTGCCTTCTAGCAGCTCTGCGCATACGCACACTGGGAACAGGCTCCCCTAGGTCCTCTGCCTCGCTGCCAGGCTCCGAAGGCAGCACCCCACTCCCAGATGGTCCTGGCCCCATCTCTGCATCGGATGCAGGACCCTCGTCCAAGTCCCCCCCCCGAGACTCCCTGAGTGGTCCCCGTTCTTCCCCACTGTCTGATTCCACTGCCGTCTGCACCAGCAGCCAGCGAACCACAACATCCTAGTCCTTCCTTTCATTAAACTAGATATAGCCAATTCCTGCAACAGTTCTTCATATATTTTAGCCTCGAGAATTCTGCAGTTCTCTTAAGATTATAGAATCAAAAAAAAATGGCCTAAATGACAGCAACCTACAATAAGTAGCATTCTAAACTCAAGACTCAAAATCCGCAAAAGTTACTGACCCACAAAAGAGCCTCCAATTCTGTGCCATTTGTGGGTCACTTGCAAAGCACTTTCTTGCTTCAGGATGCCTTGAGATAACACCTCTGGCATGTGAGCAGAGAGCTGTTTAAAAACCGGCATCGCACCCCCTTCTGAGAAAAAAAAAACCCAAGGGAAGAAAAAGGAACTTTTAAAACTCACGCGCCCCTTGAGTCTAACCGCTGAGTGAGAACCACCAACGCAGCAGCTCAGATTTTGAAGAAAACCCTAGTTTAAGCAGAAGCTATACAGGGTAGAATGAAAGAGCTTCAAAAGGCAAGGGTTGGTGGAGTAATAACAGATCCCACCTGCCCCCACACACTTTTTAACTTTTTATATTTTAGCTGTTATGTAATTTTGTAAACTGTCCAGAGTTACTCTATGGTAAGATGGGTAGCCAATAGAATGAATGAATGAATGAATGAATGAGGAAGGGAAGGAGGAGAGAGGAAAGGAAAGGGAGGAAAGGAGGAGGAAGGAAGGGAAAAGGAAGGAAAGGGGGAGGAAGGAAAGGAAAGGAGCAGGAAAGGGGGAGGGAGGAAAGGAAAGGAAAGGAGGGAGGAAAGAGGGAGGGAGGAAGGAAAGGCTGATACAGCAGCTGAAAATTTTCTCTGTAATAAAGGTAGTCCTCAACTTACAAAAATTCATATAGTGACATTTGAAGTTAAAAATAAAACGGCACTGAAAAAGTGACTTATGACTGTTCTTCACACTTACAACCGCTGCAGCATCCCTGCAGAAACGTGATCAAAATTCAGGCGCTTGGCAGCTGACTCATATTTATGACGGTCGCGCTGTCCCACAGTCACATGATTCCCACCTTTGTGACTTTCTAACCAGCAAAGGTCAATGGGAAGCTGGATTCACTTAACAACAGCAGTGGATCCACTGAACAAGAACGGTTTGTTACGTGAATTGGGCTTCCCCATTGACCTTGCTGGTCAGAAAGTCACAAAGGTGGGATTACGTGACCGTGGGACATTGTGACCGTCATAAATGTGAGTTGCCAGGCGTCTGAATTTTGATCATGAGACCGCAGGGATGTCACGACGGTCGTAAGTGTGAAGAAACAGCCTTAAGTCGCTTTTTTGAGCGCCGTTGTAACTTTGAAGCGTCACTAAACAAATGGTTGTAAGTCAAGGAATATCTGTATGAAATAAGTAAGTAAAACAGTTTACCGTGTCTATTTCTTCAGCAGCACCCCCCATAATTTCTCAAAAGCATTATTTATAGCCAACAAGACTTAAGCATTTTGATTTTCAAGGGTGCCTGGTCTATTTAATCAAGAGACCATATCAAATCACAGCCGATGTGTTCTGACCCAGACCTTGTTCCAAGGGAACAAACACGAAATGGCAGTAACAGCAAAACCTTTTAATGATTCTTTAAGAATTCCCTTCCTTCCTGGTTAAAAGGCTGTTTCAAACTAATTGTCTCTGATAAGAAGGAGCCTTGCCAAGGTTGTGCAACGCTGCCAAGAACACTAGATAAAGTTACTAAGAAAGATTTCAAACACAAAGAGTCTCCAAACACCAACCAAGATATATTCTGAACGTCCACAAGGCTTGAGTGCAAAAACTTCTTTGCTTCCTGCAAAGAACTCCGGTTTCTCAGCTGGCTTTTATCTCTTCAGGGAGGGGCCATTACCTTGCAGCCTTACTCCCGAGTCGGCCGTGCTGCTGCAGCTGCTCTTTCCTTTGAGCAGCCCTGCACGCACACACGCCCTGGGCACAGGCTCCTCGGGGGCCTCTTCCTCACTCCTGCCAGCCTCCACAATCTCCGAAGGCAGCCTTCCATTCCCTGATGGTCCTGGCCCCATCCCCGCATCACGCTTAGGCCCCTCATCCGAGTCCTCGCTCTCTGAGAGCTCAGCCCTCCGCACCTGCTGCCGGTGAACCACAACACAACGCTATGAATTTTACCAAACTTCTCTTCCTTTTTGGGTGTATGTGTGTGTGTGTAACTGCTTAATTCTGCCCTTCAAAATAGCTGACTCAGTTTATGCCGCTTGTATCATTTTCGGCTTCGGCGTGCAAACATTATTCAGCTGCAAATCCCCAAATCCAGAGAGGATATTAAGTTGTGAAAGCAGCCTCTGAAAATGACTGGTTTAGATCTGACAACTCAATGCCTTCCACAAAAGCTACTCAAAGTGAGAACAAGGCAAATTTCCAACACGAATACAGGTAGCCTTTGACTTGCGACCACAACGGACCCCCAAATTTATGTCGTTTAAGTGAGACATTTGTTTTGCTCCATTTTGAGACCATTTTTGCCACTGTTGTTAAGCAAATCGCTGCACTTGTTCAGATAGTAACCCGATCGTTAAGTGAATCTGGCTTCCCCGTGGAGTTCGCTGGTCGGAAGGTCACAAGTGAGGATACCGTGACCCCGGGACACAGCAACCGTCATAAATATGAGTCAACTGCCAAGCGCCTGAATTTTGTTCACACGATTATGGGGATGCTGCAAAGGTCGTTAACTTTGAAAAAGGCTCATAAGTCAAAATTTTCCAGTGCCATTCTATTCACAAAATGAACCGTTGTAAGTCAAGGCCTACCTGTCGTTTTATGGGCAGATTTTGTGACCGTTTTTGTAGTGGTTGTTAAGCAAACGCCGCAGCTGTTTGCTCGGGGCACAGTTTTGCCGAAAACCAGGATAAGAGCCAGTTTTTAGCAAACCCAGTTTTAAAAACTGTTATAAGCCACTTTTTTTTCAGGGCCATTGTAAGTTTGAACAGTCACTAAACGAACTGTTGCGATTACCTCTGCTCAAGAGTACATGAATACAACAGGTACCTCAGAGGCCCACCTCAATTGTTGAGCCCGCAGCGTCAGAAACCTTTTCGACCGGATGCCGAAACCATGAGAAAGGGGTTTGCCTTCTTTCACAACTATTAAGTGGCTTTCAAAATGTTCCTTCGGACCTGTGGGCCCTTTCCTAGGATTTAGAGCAGGGGTCCCCAAACTCGGCAAACTTTTAAGACTTGTGGACTTCAACTCCCAGAATTCTCCACAAGTCTTAGTTGCCAAATTTGGAGACCTCTGATTTAGAGCAAGTATGGCACACGGCTCCGACCACTCCAGCTTTGGTTGCTAATCTGGGGATTTCCTGGGATTCAGGAAAGTTTCAGCAAAGGCACTTCCAGGGGGGTTTCCCTCCCTCTGGCAGGACCCCAAAAGCTCTTACAATTGGGGGTGCTGAGAGAGGAGAAAATGTATATAAAAGCGAAATAATACCACTCACACATCATCACAAAATCTCCAGAACCGTAAAGCCTACAAACTTGAAATTTGGCACGTATGTTCCTCTTGGCTTCTAGGTGCTCCCTAAGGAAAGATTTTTCCAAATGACCTTCAGAGCTATTAGTATTTCCTATATATTATTATTGTTATTAACACGCTCTGACGCTAAGGAGTTCTACTCTCCCTCCCCACCAAAAAAACAACCCGGGCAGTTTCAGTTTCAGAGCAGCCACTAGCTTTAATACAGAGCAATTGAGCTGAGCCACGCCCGGGCTCCTTGCTGTCTCCTTCTTGCTCACACAGCAAATCCTCTTTCAGTTTCCAAACACCCCTCAACTCTCTCACACACTGACAGGACGCTTGCCAGATGAATACCGATGGATGCTGGCAGGCAGAGGCAGATTTTTTTTTTCTCCTTTTCCTCCCCAGAAAACTAACCTTCATGACGGTTTCGTAGCGAAGCACGGGTAGAGCAAATAAATACTGCAGTTCCATCCAGCTGCCTTTTAATAGCACTTATGTTTAATTTAATAGCACAACACACACAATTTCCCCACAACAACCCCGTGGGGTACGATACACCTTTTTCCCCCACCGTCTCTTCCACCAGGCCCAAAGACAGGCGCAGCCCCGTCCCCAGCAGCGACCCTTCCTCCCTTTTCCCCCTTCAAAAGACCCCCACCCCACCCCCGACCCCCAAAAGCTACCTTTCCGCCTGAAGAAAGACATGGCGGCGCCGGCAGGGGAGGCCTAAGCCGTCCCTTAGGGCTGCTGGGTCTCCTTCCTCCTCCCGCCGCCGCCTCCCGCGCCCCACACCGAGGCGGAGGAGGAGGCGGCAGCCGCCATGTTGTCAACAGCGGCGGCCGCGGCGAAAGGTCCTTCTTCCGGGCGGCGACGGTACGCAAAGCCTGTCGGGAAAAACGAAACAAAAAAAAAAAAGAGAGATGACCGGCCCGGAAGCCCTTGGTTTTCAAGCGGCATGGGGACGGATTCCCGGCCAATCAGAGGAGAGCGAGAGGAAAGAGGAGGCGGGGCGTCAGGATAGGCCATCTTGGAAGAGGGCGCCCGGCACAGGAGGGCGAAGGGAGGCGGAAAGGCCATTTTGGAAGAGGGCGCGACCTCTCTTTCTACGCGAGGCAAGAGAATCCCGCTCGGCCCATTCCTGAAACAGGAACCGATGCCCGTTCAGCCATATTGGATGAGGGCAAGTGCCCCAAACCTAGAAGAAATCGTTCCTTATAATATTTGCAATTTACAGACGCATCCATTTTCCACGAGGTGATAAAACGGATTGGGAGAGACTGAGAAAGTAATACAAGAAATCCTCGACCTACAACTATCCACTTAGTGACCATTTAGAGTTGCAACACCAACACTGAAAAAAAAGTGACTTAGGACCAGTCCTCACTTTACAACCATTGCAGCGTCCGGTCATGTGATCAAAACTGGGGCATTTGGCAATTGGCCTGTATTTACAACGGTTGTAGCGTCCGGGGCTCATGCGATCCCCGTTTGTTGGCAGCTTGCGACAAGCAAAGTCAAATGGGGGGAACTGGATTTGCTTAACGACCATGTGATTCACTTAAGAACTGCTGTGATTTCCTTAGACGCAATTTACACAGGCTTCTGCAAAGCCTTTGATTCAGTGGTACATGACAAACTACTGTTAAAACTAAACTCTTATGGCATTTCCGGATCACTTCATGAGTGGATTACTGCATTCCTGTAAAACAGGCAACAAATTATAAAAATAGGGAGTGCTATATCAAACCCTGCTCCAGTTAACAGCGGTGTCCCCCAAAGCAGCATTCTAGGACCCACACTCTTTATATAAATGACCTTTGTGATCACCTTATTAGCAACGGCATCCTCTTTGTGGATGATGTAAAACTATTCAACACCACTGACAATGCTATTATCCTTCAAAGTGACCTTGATTATGTGTCTGAATGATCAAACATTTGGCAACTCCAAATGTCGACCAACAAATTCTCTGTCCTACACATTGGTAAAAAAAATATCAATTCACCAAATACAAACTAGGTGGATATGACCACGTTGATGACCTTCACTCTGTCAAGGACCTTGGAGTACTCATATCAAATGATCTAAGCGGTAGAGCTCACTGTAACAACATTGCCAAAAAGCCATTACGAGTTATAATATAAAAATCAGTCCGATCTAAGTATGGTATATAAAATCATACATTGCAATGTCCTACCTGTCAATGAATACTTCAGCTTCAACCATAACAACACAAGAGCACACAATAGATGCAAATTCAAGGTTAATCACACCAAACTTGATTGCAGGAAATACGACCTCAGCCACAGAATGGTCAATGCCTGGAATACTCTACCTGACTCTGTGGTTTCTTCCCTAAACCCCAAATACTTTAACCTTAGACTGTCTACTATTGACCTCACCCCTTTCCTAAGAGGTCTGTAGGGGGCGTGCATAAGCGCACCAACATGCCTACCGTCCCTGTCCTATTGTTTCTTTTATTTTTTCTATTTTTCTTTTATGTATCCAAGTATTCATAACTATGTTTTTACTTATACCTATTATCTTGTAAGCAATTGACAAAAATAAATAAAATAAATAAATAAATCTTACGAAGCTTCTCCTCTGGAAATATTTAATTGCTAACTAGGGCATTCAAAACCTTTGCTAGACCAATACTCGAATACAGCTCATCTGTCTGGAATCCGCCCTGTATATCAGACTTTAATACAATTGAGCGAGTCCAGAAGTATTTCACGAGAAAACACTTCTCTGCTCGCAACAGAATACACCACCAGGCTTGAAATTTTGGGCTTGGACTACCTTGAACTACGCCGCCTACGGTTGGACTTAAGCATAGTACACAAAATTATCTGCTACGATGTCCTACCAGTCAATGACTACTTCGGCTTTAACTGCAACAATACAAGAGCACATAACAGATACAAATTCAATGTTAATTGCTCCAAGGGGAGGGGGGAAAGGGCAGAGGGGGGGGAACTTGCCCCACTTACCCCATGTGCCTCACCTGGCCACCGGGCTGTTTTTTTCCGCTTCTTCCTTCTTCTGCTTTTGGCTGCACGCAAGGAAAGCAGCCAAAGTCTTTCTTTCTCTCCCCCAAACTCCACCAGAATTGAGTCTTTGGGACCCTGCAAGGCCTCCTGCTCCAAGAGGCATGACAAGTCTCACAAAGACTCTCATATCTGGCAGAGTTTGGGGGAGAGAAAGAAAGACTTCTGCTGCTTCTGCTGCTTTCCTTGCATGAAACCAAAAGTCTCTCTCTCCCACCCCCAGAACGGACCTGGAGACTGTATCCTGCGATCCCAAATAAAGAACGATCGATCGGTAGGAAAACGGGGTGGGGAATTTTCCTTTTTTGGGGGGGAATTTCCCAGGGTCTCTGGTCCGCTGGAGTTAAAATTATGAGTTTGGTGGTCCCTGCGGTCCAAAAGGTTGGCAACCCCTGGACTAGAAGACCTCCCGGGTCTCTTCCAAATCTGGTATTGAAGAATATATCAACAATGGTTGAAGGATTTGGGTTTGGCTAGCCTAGAAAAAAAGAAGGAAGGGGAGGAGGAGACATGATGGTATTCCCACATTTGAAAGGCTGCTCCAAAGAGGAGAGGGTCAATTTATTTTCCAAAGCACCAGAGATAGGATAAAAAGCAACAGATGGAAACTAACCAAGGAGAAAAGCAACCTGGAATTAAGAAAAAACTTCGTAACAGTGAAGACAATTAACCAGTGGAACAGCTTGCTACCGGAAGTTGTGGGTGTTGCATCACTGGAGGTATTTAAGAAGAGACTGGACAGTCACTTGTCTGGAATGGTCTAGGATCTCCTGCTAGAGCAGGGGGCTGGACTAGAAGACCTTCAAGGTCCCTTCCAGCTCTATTCTGATTCTAATCAATTACCGTCGTTAAGCAAGAACTACCCATAACATCCGCACATCCTATTTATCCTTCTCTATGCATGTTCTGACTACCTGTTCGCCACAACCACACGCTCCTTAAAAGAGAAACGAACAATTAAAACGTTATAGCGACTAAGAGATGATGGTTAGAAAGGGAATATGTTTAAATGCAGTAGTGGCATAATCAAAGAATAGGGATGGAAACTAGAGAGAGGGGAATTAATAAAACAACATTTTTATATAATAAGAAGTAATAGTAGGAGGGGAAAGTAGAATTTGAATGACGGTACTACTAAGTATATTTAAATAATATGGTGACTGTCATAAAAATAATACATTGATCTATTGATTAAATAAACGCGAACAATTATAATTCAATATGAATATGTGTATGTTTGCTAAATGTAACAAATATGATTAAAATACTTTATTAGTATTGAAATGTATGACATGAAGAAAACGGTGATGGACATAAAAATAACATTGAAATATAACCAAATAATGAAGGATTATAAGTTGAACAAGCAAATATTGGAAGATTTTAATTTAACATAAATGTGTTATTAGAATTATATAAGCTTGCTAAATCTAATAAATATGATCAATAATATTCTATTTGTAGTAAAAGGTATGACACTTAGAATAGGGCGATTGGCATAAAAATGAGACATTGAAATATTGAATAACTAAATAATGAAAGATTATAATTGAATAAAAGTATTAATGAAATATTATTAGAACTATATAAGCTTGTTCAATGGAACAATGATGATTAACGTTATTTTATTTGTATCCAAGTATATGACACTCAGGTGCCCAGCTGCTCACAAGCATTGATAGGTTTGTAAAACATAAAAAACTTCGGGGAGGAAAAAAAAGAGAAGTTTTTGACCCAAATTGCCTGATCATGATTACAGCTTGATGATTAATTCATATCCAACAGACGAGCCGCATCATCAAAGCTGCAAAGCACCGGCTTGGCCGCTGGAGGGCAGCAACACCTTACAATACGGGCGGTTCCCCTCGCTGTCCCACCTAGAGGCCGGGTTGGGTACTGCCCACGTTACAGAAACACGCAGCGAGCCAGAGACGCTGTCCGCGTGTTGTTCGGCTTCCTCCTCCTCACGTTCTTCTTCCCCGAGAGCCACACTGACCTCTGCGGATTTCACTGCACGCCCAACGGCGGGAATCCCCGGCTTGGGCTCCGAGAGCGAAGTTCCCACGCGTGGGAAATCTGGGGGAAGGGTCTCTCTCTTTGAAAGTCCTGGGGAACACCCCCCCTCCCGTCCTCCGGCGCATCTTCGAGCCTGGCTTTTCACGGGCGGGGGAGGGGAGACTTTTCCCCCGGGGAAGGGAGAAGACCCCCCCAGTTCCCACGAGTGGGAAATCTTGGGGAAGGGTCTCTATCTTTCAGAGCCCTGGGAAGCCCCCCATCCTCCTCCCGCGCGTCTCCGAGCCTCGTTTTAGCTAGGGGGGGAGGAGAAGGGGAGATTTTTCCCGGGAGAAGGGGAGAAGCCCACCCAGTTCCCACGCGTGGGAAAGCCTGAGGAAGGGTCACTCTCTTTCAAACCCCTGGGAATCCCCCCCCGCTCACTCTCCTCCCGCGCGTCTCCGAGCCTGGTTTTTAAGGGGGGGGGGGGGAAGGAGAAGGGGAAATTTTTCCGCGGAGAAGGGAGAAGGGGAGAATCCCACCCAATTCCCACGCGTGGGAAAGCCAGAGGAAGGGTGTCTCTTTCAAAGCCCTGGAAATCCCCCTCCCCCCCACGCTCTTCCCTCGCGTCTCCGAGCCTGGTTTTTAGCTGGGGTGGGGGGAAGGAGAAGGGGGAGATTTTTCCCCCGGAGAAGGGAGAAGGGGAGAAAGACCCCCCCCCCGCAACCTATCACCCACGCCCCCCCCCAGCCCCGCTTCCTCCCTCCCCCCCTTCGCTGGGGGGGGGTCCCTGCGCAGGCGGGTGCGGCCGTCCTGCACGTGACGGGGAGCCGCTCC